TTTCTGTTTATTTAAATCGAAGACGTGTGTTGTCTCAAAGCCATTTTCTATGCAGTTGGCATTGACGGATGGTTGAATGGAATGTCAGAACAACATGTTTCTATGATTAAAACTACTTTTACGGATTTTATCGCGTTTATTTTTTCTTACTTTTTTATTTTTATTTTTAATTCCCGACGTTTCGGGAGCTTTCCAGCACCCATGGTCACGGGGGACTGAGATGACTGACGTCCCGATGTCATTGTTAAACCCGGAGTACCTTCAGCTTTTTTTTAATTATTGTTTATGGTCCGATCTATGCAAAATGAACTGACTATGTCCTGAGGTCTTGCAGTGGTATGCTTGGGTTTAGTTTTAATTTTATTGATTATAGGATCCCAAGCAGGTGGTAGTACCCAGCCTCCTTCTCTATTGAAATTAGGATGTTTTTTAATTTCAATAGCCTCACGTATCATCCTTGGTAGGAATCGGTGTTCTTTCGCGAGGATTTGTGGTCTATCAAATCTGATGTAATGGTTGGGGCCGTCCAGGATATGATCACAAACTGCAGACTTCCCGGAACGTTGATGCTTTGATTTGATAGACCACAAATCCTCGCGAAAGAACACCGATTCCTACCAAGGATGATACGTGAGGCTATTGAAATTAAAAAACATCCTAATTTCAATAGAGAAGGAGGCTGGGTACTACCACCTGCTTGGGATCCTATAATCAATAAAATTAAAACTAAACCCAAGCATACCACTGCAAGACCTCAGGACATAGTCAGTTCATTTTGCATAGATCGGACCATAAACAATAATTAAAAAAAGCTGAAGGTACTCCGGGTTTAACAATGACATCGGGACGTCAGTCATCTCAGTCCCCCGTGACCATGGGTGCTGGAAAGCTCCCGAAACGTCGGGAATTAAAAAATAAAAATAAAAAGTAAGAAAAAATAAACGCGATAAAATCCGTAAAAGTAGTTTTAATCATGTGCAATGTTCGCGTAAATATAAGAAATCAACATGTTTCTAATTATGTAGCGGAACTCGAGAGGGCTTGGGTTATCTTGTACCCGACCGCGAACCCTAACGCAGGAAAAAAAAAGTTCCAAGTTGTCCTGCGAACATTTAAAAGTCAACAAATATTTAATTGGATTTTGCTCTAGTGTACACAAATCATTAACAAGTAACGATAAACTATTTATGTTCATTAAAACCCTAATAAAAACGTTTTTCTGGGATGATTTAAAATACCTTTACCATTTATTGTTAACGATTTTAAAAACATTCCAGTATCATTAAATATTGGTTCCCAATAACGTTTGTTTGTAACGATAATGGAGACTTGGAACCCTTTCCAAATGGTGACTTTGAATTCATGAGATCAAAAAGTCTATCTATCATGTGCAAGAACTCTGTAGTCGCTTCGCTGTTTAGAAAGTCAGGATGACCACTAATCCTCAAAAAATCTATTGCATCAGCAATAGATGAACTAAGTACTTGCGCAGCAAGCCTAACATTAATTTTTTTTGTTTTTAAAATCTACATGTAAAGCGCCTAATTTATTAGCAAATTTTAACCCCTCCTTGCTTTGTATTTCGTGTAATTTTCGGATATATTTAAACGAAATATAGCCGGTATTTGACTTCATTTCAAAATCGGCCAAAACATTTCTATCGAGTTTTAACATATGTGCAGCGTCAAGCGGACAATATATATTGCTCATCCCGTTTGGATGTCGAAAGTACGGTCTTAAATTATTTTGTTCGAGAGAGCAGCCTAAATATTCATAAGCCTTTACATTGGATGATGCACCATCACAAGTCAAACAGAATTATAGTGGTTTTTATTAATTCGGAAAGCAGTTCCCCAGACAAGTTATTTGCAATTAAAAATATGCAATTGGACACTTAAAACGTACACCGTAAGACACTATTTGAAACACAAGGGCTTCGGATCACTTACAGGAATTGGTCCTAAATCTACATACCCAACCACTTTGTCTAATTTTGATCATATGCCAAATTTTGTTTTAATGCCATTCCATCAAATATTAAAAGCAACATTTTTTAAATATATTTTTTCAGGTGTTTTAACTTGTTCTTTTAAATATTCCAGTACTTCAGAGAGGAAACCAACATACATACATAAACACTCACGCCTATCACCCAGAGGGGTAGGCAGAGACTACAGACTTCCATTTGGCACGATCCTGACACACCTCTCTCGCCTCCTTCACATCCATACACCTACGCATACATGCTCGTCGGTTAAGGGTACTCCTAATTTGGCCCGTTTTCAATAAATCGCCAATTTGGTCAATACATTTTCGCCTAGGACGTCTTTTCCGACTCTGCCATTCACTTCTGCAACACAAATTTTCTTTGTCACTCTTTCCTCATTCATTCTTTCCACATGACCAAACCACCGAAGCATTCCTTTCTTAATCCTGGTCACAACATCATCTTGCAAACCACACTCTTCTCTTATTACACAATTTCTTACCCTGTCGTTCAGATTCAGCCCTAACATAATCCTTAAGGACCGCATTTCTACTGCGTTGATTCTACTCTCGTGCTTCTTCTGCCACACCCAACTTTCACTACCATACGTTAAAGTAGGGACCAACACAGCATTGTGAATTGCCATACGTGCCTTTTATGACACATTTTGACTCTTCACAATAGAGTGCAGGGCCCCATTTACTCTATTTCCCGCATTCACTCGTCGTTCTATATCCTTATCATATCTCCCATCCCTGCTATATACGCAGCCCAAATATACAAACTCATCTACTTGCTCAATCAACTCCCCTTCTATTCTTATTTCACAAATCGTTTTACTTTCTTCTCTTTCAAAAACCATAACCTTCGTCTTACTTGCGTTCACTTTCATACCCCTTTCTTTTAATGATCTGTTCATTAATGTAACCATCATTTGCAACTCGGCCGCCAACGACGCAAGGATAACTTGATCATCGGCGTACAAAAGGCATTTGACGGTTAACTCACCCATTCTTAATCTGCATTCTTCAACTTTCAAATTTTGCAAACAACTGTCCATAAATAGGTTGAACAGCCACGGGGAAGCCACACAGCCTTGTCTGACACCTTTATGGATGTCAAACCAGTCCGAGTAGACCCCGTTGATCCTAACACAAGCACTAGAGTCCCTATAAAGAGACTCCAATGCCTGTATCAAGCCAGTGCTCAACCCAAATGAGTTCAGTGTTTGCCATAGCACATCCCTATCCACTCTGTCATAGGCCTTTTCCAAGTCCATGAACGCACAAAAAACCTTTTGGTTCTTGGCCAAAAACTTCTCCGTGATCATGCGCATGGAAAAGACTTGATCTGTACATCCCATTCCCTTTCTGAATCCCGCTTGCACATCCCAAATTTTTCCATCAGTTTCTTTCATGACCCTTTCAATCAGTACCTTAGCATACAGTTTTCCCACAATGCTAAGAAGGCTGATGCCACGGTAGTTTTTACAGTCCTGCTGCGACCCTTTTCCTTTATATACTGGGACTATCACGGTTTTGCACCAGTCTACCGGTACCCGCTAAACCAACATTACAGTTAAATAAAGATAAAGATCTTCGTATAGTTTCTACATGAGGTAAAGTCGTATATTTTCTTAAGAACTTGTAAGCCTTAGGTGAATAGAAATTCAAAGTTAAAGCAAAAGCTTTCACTTCTTCACTATATTGAACACCATGTGGATTACTCTGTGGCTTTTTGAAATCCTTACAGATATCAGCAAAGCGCCCTTGAATAATATTTTCAATTTCTGACTGACCCGTATACTTTTTAATAGTTGCAATTAAAGAAGACATATCCTGATTTTTTTTAGTTTGGCGCGCCACTTTTTGCTTAAGAATCTTAGATTTCTTCTTTACTCGACTTTATTTTCACTTGCACGCCCCTATCTATCTTCGCGAGATCGTCGTCTTCACTACTGACCTAAGAAAACAAGAAACCTTTGTGAAATCGGTAATTTTAGCATCGTATTGCTCCGCTCATAAGGGTCGTAGCGTGATGTTCCTGAAGAATTTTAAAAATGCAAAAAACTATTTTCAAATCTGACTGGTATAGTTCCGGAGATTAGAGAACTCAAACAAACAAAAAAAGAATCAAATAACTCTTCTACATCATAATGTCAGTACAAATTTACATCACGTAATAGGTTATTAGACCATTAGTAGACAGAAAGGATACTCCGGAGCGTGCCTTCATGAGCACGCATAAATGAAGCATCAAACAACAAGCTTCATGCTTAGTGTCGTAGTAACGGTTACCACACTGCGATTGGCACTAAAGAGTTTAAATATGTATGTGTTTTAAGCTATATAATAAATTATGTAATATAATATTAAAGTCATAATAAATACAAATAAAAGGTATGTATTTAGTAATAAAGGAAAAGGAAACTTACAGGTAACTTGTTAAGATTGCATAAATTTTCAAGAATTTTTCGACATTGTTAAGCTATTGCATAGCTTCTATCGCGGGCCTTGAGCGCGGGGACCGAATCCAGAAATTCCGTAATGAAAAAAAACCTCACGCTCCCTACTCCGACGGGCACGGAGGTGTGGCGTTGAAAGCCGTGCATCGTCTAACGTCGTTTCAGTTCGGCAGACTTCGGCACTCGGCAGATTTCGGCACGGTGTTTGTGTGCGTGCGACTAGACGTATGCGTGTACACTAGCTGCTAACTCAATGATAAAAATTCCTGAATAACCTACATGTATTGTAAGATATTAAAAATATTTTAAACAATATTAACTTCTCATTTATTCAATAAGAGAAAAAAATTGTTTTCTTATCGGTCACCACGCTCAAAAAGTGTAACTTCATTTAATATCAAAGACTTAACTGCATAAATAAAATAAATAAATAATTATAATTGCATAAGTTGACACGTATTTTTTTTACTAGTTTGGTCTTCAATATTACAGGCAGTACGTTTCACTCCTGTTTCCTTAAGTGCAGAACTACTGTCATAAATGTCAGAACTAGTAGGAGCTTGGTAGAGCCAGAGCAGCTATTTGCACAATAGACTCTTCATGTAATGCACTTGTTGTCTGCAAATGATAACATATTTTACAAAATGTTGCTTTATATCATACATTTAAACTACTACATTTCTAAATATATAATATACTTATTACGAAAAATTAGATAGTTAAATTATATAAAATTTTTACCTTGCCTGATGATACTGTTTCTTGATTTATTATAACAGTAGGAATGGCTGTTGGTTTTAAGCGCCTTGTTGTTGAATCATAATCTGATTCTTGAAAATGCAAATTGCAAATCCTTGCACTTTCATAATACTTCATTTTCAATGATACAATGCATAACCACAAATTTCTCCGAGTACTGTTTTTAGGAAATCTAAAAAATATATTCGTAATTATTGTAAACGTTACTAAAGTATCAGAATAATGAGAAACAAAAACTAAATAAAAAGTAAATTGTCTGCCTAAAAAAACTAAATAAAAAGAATATATTATTATGTTACTAATTAATAATTTAATATTATGAAATCTATGAAATCCGTCATTATATAGAATACATAGGAATTGTATATAATTCCTAAATTTCATGCATTTCCGGTAACATAATAAGAAACAAGTACATATAATTAGTTAAGGACACGGAAAGTCTCAGATACATCATTAATATGGTCACACTACTTCAGTGCGATTTCTTTTAAACAAAAACAATAAAATTGTTCAAAGTCAATTAAATTCAATGTAAAACTATTTGATTTTGATAAAGTTATGATTTACTAATATGTTTAAAACACTGGTAAAACGTTTCAGCAAAAAATTAAGTGAAAATACAAAGAAGTATGTTTACAAGTATTCAATGCCAGAAGTCACTATTTAAACACTTACGCATGAAATCTTATATCACCTCCTGGACACCAACTACTGCCGAAACCACGCACTACACAAGTTTGCACCATTTCTTGAATTATAACAATAATTAACTTTAAATATCTCAAACAACGCTGTGAACTGCTAAGTAAACAACCGCCATATTTGTCTAATTTATGTTGACATATAGGGCTAATGTTGCCACATTACCAGACCCTTAGGAAATGGGATTGTAATTCACTGATTCGTTAACCCAAAAATGCATACGAGACCTTCAATTATGGAATTTTTAGTGTAACTAATCGTAGTTCAACTATTTATTTATTGGTACGTTATTTTATGGAGCTTAACTTCTGATTTGGTTAGTGTGGAAACTATTTCTAAGAATTTACCAGGAGATTTAAATAAAAACATAGCAATACTGTATTCCACACTAAAAAGAGAAGTCAGACCACAGAGAATGAGATAAAGATACGTGGGTATTTGACTCAAGCTGTTGTTCCAAGTGTGACCTTCCATCTTTATCTATAACTTAATGGTTACGACACCCTTGGGGCGATATGGGGTAGTGATGTTCTTTACACTGCCACTTCACGGTAAGCTTTTCGAACTTACTGGAGCTTATTTTTACCTCAGAACTGGAAAGAAGTATAAATACCTACGATTTCTTAGTACAATGCTTATCATAAATATGTCATCCGTCGCTGTTGTAATTTTTTTGTCCTTTTGTCTTCTCGTATATTCTTTCGGTCTTGTCTGTCGGGATTATCCAACATTGAGAAAAAGTGTAACTATTTTCAATTAAAATTAAATCTCTGGACACACTGACATCACTCTAATTGAATAAGTAATCGTCTTGATTTAATACGTAAGCAACGGAAATATTAAAAAACAAAAATAAAATTTGTAATAAACAGCAAAAACAACAGCCTAGCTTGACCGAACCATGATTTTGATCATAAGTGAAAATGGAAGATTTTTTGTAATTTAGTTCCTAAAGCTTAATATTTTAACCACGTATAATCAGGGATTGCTTGATCTGAGTTTTTCTTACTCAGCATGGTACATTTGTTACCAAATATATTTCACCGTACATGCTTAATAGTCTTTTTTTCTTTATTTAGAGTAGTAATATCGAAATATATCACATAGCCGCAATTTGTTCATTTATCTCCGTAAGCGTTAACAATACAATCTATTATATTATACACTACTGCACATAGACCTCTCCCATTGATTGCCTCATAGGTTTGGCAAGCGGGTTGGCAAGGCCTATGGCGTGAAGTAAATGTACGTAATATGTAATTTACTCCACAGAACACAATTACTCTCTACCGAGAGAGCAACTATATATAGTATCCAGGTAAAATAGAACGTGACCTTTTAAATTTCGACGTATGATGTTATAACGTTTTATTATCATCATCATTATCATCGTCGTCTTCTCATAGCTTATTAGAAGTCCACTAGACCTCCCTCCATTATTTGTCTCACAGAAGGGAAATTTGCCATAGTTGCTACGCTAGCAAGCGGTTTGGTAACAATTCAGTTTCCTCACTACATGGTACCTAATTAAATAAAACGATTTGATTGCAAATTTGTTGCATAAAGGTTACAAAATGTATGGCGCAAGAGCAAAGTATTTTCATTTAGTCACGTAACAGTGGTTTGCTGATATTGTTATCTTAATATAAGTAAATTGGGCTTGAATGTTAACCATAAAACATACACGTGACTTAAATAAACCGGTAGGCTATGTTGATGTTGGTGACGCAATTCGTTCTATCCACAATATATATTTTTAATAAACTTCAAAGTGTCTTGTACAGTGTTTGTGTGTATACTTATCGGTTCACTGATCAATGACTCTTGACTACATAGTACAAACTTAATCAGACAGTAAACATTATTTATATATATTTTAGTTTAATTATACGCTATTATGTCGGTACCACTCCTAGCACAAGCTGAAAATGCTTGTGTTACGAGTATTCCACGACAGTAGGCGAATGGTGGAATCGAACCCCCAACTTTTTAACTTCGTGGTGCGCACCCGGTCATTAGGATTACTACTAGTGGTTAAAGGGAATATTACTTATGTTAATAGCATTGCTAGTATTTAAAATATATGTATGCAGTTCGCCTGCGGTAGAAGTGAAATCTTCAGAAAACTGAATTTCAGGAGAATGAGATAAATGCAGAGTATCAGGAGTATGATTACTGTAGGGTTTATTTATTAAACTATTGTTACCAGGTTTAAAAATATTTTCTTTACTATCAATTTTTAATTGTTAAAATAAACGATATAAAAATTAACAAATTTATTAAATAAAAAACTTACGTTATTGAATTCAATTATCATATCTAATCCATCAAAAACAATCCAAGATTTGATAACTTTAAAATTTGATACGTGGTAGAGCCATGCTGCAGTTATATTAGTCGTACGAGTATAGTTGTAGCACGAATGGGTCGGCTCGACCGAGGTACCACAGAATACCAGCGTAAAACAGCAGCTTAATGCTGCTGTGTTTCGTATGGTGAGTGTAGAGAAGCAGAGACCCTTTTTGCTGAAAACGGGGCATTCCATCTTAGGCCTCACGGGTGACAACGCATCTGCATTTTGATTCGTAATCGAGGATACCTATCCTATAATAAAAAACTTCAGGCCACCTAGCGTCTATTTTACATACGACTTTCAGAGTCAATCAATTTTTGTTCGACAAAATGAATACATAATAATATAGAATGAAGTAGATGGCGCTATTACAAAGCAATTTTACCTAAAAGAAAATAAATGTTCTTTTGATGTATTACGCTAAAATTTAGTTAAAAAATAAGAATTGTAACATTTTAACCAACTTCAAAAAAAGGAAGAGGTACTCAATTAGGCCGTATGTGTTTTTATGTGTGTTACCTCTGAACTTTCTTCTAAGTGAACCGATTGTGATGATTCTTTTTTATTTGAAAGCTGGTGCTTCTCATGTGGTCCCATATGACTTGAACTACATTGATGATGTTCTTATTTTATTCATATTGAAGTTGATTGCACAAAATTTTTAATTTTACTACTTGTTTTGCTATACCACTTGTGTTTGAGAATTATCTTATCAAATAAATTAATTTACACGCGTTCTATGTATTTAGCATAATTTCTATGTATTTAGAGTACATATATATAGAATTAGTTACTCATATTTAATTTATTAGTATATACAAGGATTGTTCAATTCATCAATTCCCATTCCATTACAGTCTATAAAGGTCCACTGCTGAACATAGGCCTTCTCCATATGCCATATGGTGAAGATATTGCCATAGATGATGATGAACTTCCTGCGCGATGTAACCTTTTTACCTAACTGCATAAATAAAATTCATTTTTGATTAAGCTTAGGATTTAAACATCCTATGTTTAATCAAAATAAACATTATCGTAATTAAGTAAGTTAAACTTTTGTTACCTACAGGCTTATTGGATTTTACTTTTGCACGAATTGGTACAAATTAGTAAGATTTTTGGTATCGACAAATTAATGTGAATTGTTTGATTAAACTACCAACGCGACCGTTGATAAATTTAACACATTTTGTTCAGTTTTTTTTTTGAGCGATTATGGTTACATTCCTTGTTTATTAATGTTTAAAATATCTTCATTTCATTTCATTCATTACCGAATTTCGGTCACGGTGGCCAATCTGAAAGAAGAGGTCTGCAGAGGACAGTATTGTGGTGCCCAAGTGCGATGCCGAAAGTAACGCGACCGAAGAGGGATTAGGCGCACGACCAACGGTTTTACGTAATTTTCGTGACATGGAGTAAACACCGTCAACTTCTTGACTTCGGGCTGCTAATGAGAATTCTTTAACAGAAAAACTCAGTAACTGATGAACAGCAGTCGCAACAAAGTCCCAGAAAATGTTATGCAGGACCTATCTATCAAAAAGTTAAAAAAAATTGAAAAGCAAAAATTGTTCAATATGGGTATATACTGTTACGAGCTTGAGGTTCGTGACAATAAAAATTGCCGATAAAATTACCTAAATTAACACTTTAATTTACTTTACACAAATGAAAACTAAAAACACTAATAATTAAACACACTAATTCACTTAATTCCGCTCCGAAGCTTCGCTTGTGTCGCCGAGTTCAACTCTGCTCGATCGCATCTTGCAGCGCCTATATATTTAAATTAGCAAAGAAATATCCAGAATGTTCAAGTAAACACGCGCAAGGTACCGAGCGTTCGAATTTCGACTAGGCGCTGTCGGTTGAGTGATTTGTGATGTCATTTTCTCAATGCTCCCCTCGCTCTCGTTCCTGACACTAGATGGCGCTAGTGTATCGTCGATTTGAGCGCGTAACAATACTATATAACAATAGGTATATGATTGATAAAAAATCCTGCGCATAAGGTGATCGCTATTACTTACTTAATTGTACAACATATATATTGCAAATTATTGTTAGTATAGTGCTGTTGAGTTACTTCATTACTTGCTGGTTATTCCTAGGACAGACGTTTTTCCTGAACCAGTGGTAAAAGCAAAAATAAATGACTTTGAATAACTATTCCTGTATCAAATAAAAATTATTCTGTTCTATTTTCCGACCTGGTTTTAGGTAGTTTAGTCATTACAGCCTATTAAGGTCCACGTTTCAACCACGTACAAGTATACTTTATTAAGCCCCCGCATTAAAATATATATATCCCATATTATAAAAGCAAAAGTCCGCTTTCAAGCAAATTGCCACATAAAATTCATTGCTTTTTCTCCTCTTGAAAGTTTGCGTTTTTTAAACGTAGTGATTTTATTCTCTTTGTAGTAAGGGTTAAACACCGGTATCAAGTTTTGTTCAGTTCAGTTTTAGTTCTTTATTAAGGTTTCACTTTTCGATACGATTCTACTTCAAATTAAGATTTTAGGATACCAGTTTCCAGTACCCAGTTGAGGGTGGTGGAAACATTCGAATATTTTTAGTTTAGTTTTGTTTTATGTCAATGCCTATGTAATAGTGGTGATATGAGGTCCACTATTAACAGACTCCGAGTGGTTTAGTGGTGGAGAAATGAAACTACTATTTTGT